CCCGCCCCCTGCGGGGCAAAGGGCTGGCAAAGCGCGCGCCTTCCCCTCCCACCGCCTCCCCTCCTCTCCTTGACTGTTGGCCCCCCCCACCCCTACCGCGGCGCCCTATCAGCGTTGGGGACGCCCTCCTCTTCCCCCACCCTCCTGGCTTCTATTGGCCGAAGCCGGAGGCGGGGCGGGGCGGGTCTGCGTCTGGGCGGAAGCGGGACGCCCACGTGGTTCCTGCCGGGAGTCGCCGCGGGATCCCCGGCCCGAACCGAACCGAACCAGACCGTGCCGAGCCCGGCGGAGCCGAGCGGGTCCGGGCCGGGCCGCCATGGACCCGCTGCGGGCCCAGCAGCTGGCGGCCGAGCTGGAGGTTGACATGATGGCCGACATGTACAACCGGTGCGGCCGCCCGGGGAGAGCGGCGGCACCTGGAGGGGGGTCCGGGGCGGGGGGCACTGAGGGTGCTGGGAGTGCCTGGGGATGGGGGAGGCACTGGGGCGTATCGGAGGCGCTGGGGGACCCTGGAGGTGAGGGGTGGTGCCGGGGATGCCCGAGGGTGGGGGACACCGGGGGCTTCTGGGGGCGGCGGTGACCCGGGGGGTTAGGAGGTGTTGGGGTGCTGGGGCTCGGGGGTGCCCGGGGTTGCGCGTGGCAGGGCCGGCGAGGGGCTGACGGTGCCGGTGTCGTGCAGGATGACACAGGCGTGCCACCGAAAGTGCGTCCCCCCCCACTACAAGGACGCGGAGCTGTCGAAGGGGGAGAGTGTGTGCCTGGACCGCTGCGTGGCCAAGTACCTGGAGGTCCACGAGAGGATGGGCAAGAAGCTGACGGAGCTGTCACTGCAGGACGAGGAACTCCTCAAGCGCGTGCAGCAGGGCACTGGCACTGCCTGAACCCCCCCGCTCCCCGTCACCCCAATAAACTGGAGGCTTTGGGCCAGCTGGTTTGCTTCCCTTGCCCCCCCCAAAGCCACCCCGTGGCCATGTGTGGGGGTACACGTTGAACCCAGTGCTGCCAGTGGATGCTGCTGGGGAGCCCCCCCTTGCTGTCCCCAGCTGCCACGTGCAATGTCCTTGAGGGGGGCACCCCTGGGTGCCCCCCCTGGTCTCCTGGCCAGGCCCAGCCCATGTAATCCTGGGATTAGGCAGAGCCGGGCTGAGCCCCTTGTAATCCCCCGCGGGGTGGGGACAGGGCTCTGCCCCTCCCTGTCTGCCTGTCGGCCAGGGGACACCGGGGGGACAGCTGGGGGAACCCCCCCCAGAATCACACAGCCCTGGAGCAGCCAGAGAGGGACAGGCACACAGGGACACCCGTGCAGGGACACCCCCGAGCCCCCCAGCCCTGGTCAGGGACACACAGACAGGGACCATGCAGGGATACCCCAGGGACACCTGCACAGGGACAGCCCAGACACCCACGCCTGGACAAGGACCACACGGGGACATCCAGAGACACTGGGGGAGGGACAACCAGGACATGCACAGGCATAACCATGCACCCACAGGGACAGTCGGAGACGACAAGGGACACCCACACAGGGACACCCAGAGAGCTGCACCAGCTCTCCTACAGATGTTCCCTGCAGGAACACCCTGACCCTGGGTGAAGGACACCTGCAGAGGGGCACCCCTGGGGTGACACCCACCCAAAGGGACCCAGGCCACGGCTGGGCAGCATCCACGTGTCTGTCTGCCTGTCCGCAGCCCGGCGGTGTGGCACTGCCTGCGCATCAGTGCCTGCCAGCAAGTGGGTCAGGCTGTGCAGGGTGCGGGTGACAGCGTGGGTGGTGGCTCCGTGGCCCGTGGCTCCCATTACACCCGCCGGCCGCCTGCGCTGCCAGCACCCTCTGAAGGGTGCGGGGTGCCAGCGGCACGGGTGTTGCCAGCCAGGGCGACGGCAGTCATGTCGCCGGGCGTTGCGGTGGCGGGTGCTGCATGGCAGCGGGTGTGCAATGCACAGCGAGGGGCGTGCAGTGCACGGCAGCGGGTGCTTGTGCGCGCACACCCTGCGGCTCAGGGTGCGGCAATGCGGGGGGGGGTTGTCTGTCCATCCCTCCCGGTCCGTCCCCACAGCAAGCCGTGCACGCCTCACTGCTCTCCAGCCGCCTGGGCGCAGTGGTGGCGGTGCCATCAATATTTCAAGAGGAGCAGGCGGTGACCTGGAAAAGCAGCGCCCCCCCCGCCCCTACCCCCCGCAGCAGCCAGGCCCTGCTCTCCCAAAATAAGACCATTTTTAATAAATAATTTCCCACCTTTTGGTTCCTGTTGGGGGTTTTTCCCGCTCAGGATCAGGGGGACACTCCTGCGGCCCCCTCCCCCGGCCACCCCTCACAGTTCTAGGGGCCTCCCCTGGGAAGAAGGGGGGCACAGGCACCCCGAGGAGCCAGGACCCCCCTGGGGCACCGGGGGGGCGGGGCTCAGAGCTGGGGCAGGAGCAGACCCAGGAGGGGCAGGAGGA